AGCAGCCAAGCCACTAAAGAGTTCTTATATCTACCAAGGCTCAGACCCTCCTCAGACTGCCTGAAGACTGCATTGGTTCCTGCCTTACATTCCTCTCTAGTGCTGGGATTAAAGGTGTGCAGCACCACCACCCAGCTTCTATGGCCAACTAGTGTGGCTGCTGGGATTAAAGGCATGTGCCACCACTGCCTGACCTCTATGAGCTGACTAATGTGGCTAGCTTTTGCACTCTGATCCTCAGGCAAGTTTTATTTGTTAGATCATAAACAAAATATCACTACAATTCAGGTTCGTTCACCTAGTGCCAGGCACATCTCTGGCACCATATACAGAGATGATAGCTGATAGCACAGTATCTGTCCTAGGAGAGCTCCCACTCCCCAGCCAAGGAGGGGTCACTCATGTCCATTACAATGTGATCCTCAGCAGGTGACACAGAGTAAGAAATCAGGGAGTCCTGGAGTGAGAGGGTTACACAGAGAAACCTTGTCAAAAGAAAAAAGAAAACAAAACCACTTAGGAGGCAGAGACAAATGGAGTTTGAGGCTAGCCTAATGTACAAAGTGAATTCCAGACTTAACAAGGGCTACATAGTGAGACTCTGTCTCAAACCACCACCCCTCCCCTAAAAAAGGAAAGAAAGAAAGATGCTTTTAGCAACCTTGAGGTGATCCTGGCCCAGCCATGTTCTTCCAGGCTTCAATATGTAGTCCAGGCTAGTCTCAAATTCCTATTCCTCTTTTTCCCTATCTTAGTTACTTTTTTGTTACTATGATAAAATACCCTAACAAAAGAAACTTAAGGGAGAAAAGGTTTGGCTCACAGTGCCAAATGCAGTCCATCGTGGCAGAGAAGTCACAGTGGCAAGGGCTTGAGGCAGCAGGACACCTCAGTTTATCTCATCAAGATCATCCATCCCCTACAGGTATGCCCAGAGATTCCTCTCCCTAGTTCATGGACTACATCACCCCCACCCCTGTGCCAGGCTGTGCTTGCCACCCTAGTGTCATCTTCAAGAACTCCACAGGCTGTGGTTTCTTTAGGGGATGCCTTCTCTGAAGGTTCTGTATATCCCTGAGAAGGTTGGCCTTCACATATCCCCCTGGTTTCGCTCCCTTCAGCTCTACCGTCAGAGTCCACGTGGACTCCAGGGTTGCTCTGGGGAGACAGGTGGAACAGCGAGCATTCTCAGGGCTGACTGTGTCCCTTCTCCCCTTCTGAGGTGGTGTGGTCCCTGTAAGATCCTAGGCCCGCGGTTAGAGAAGATGGTGGCCAAGCAACACGGGAAGGTGGTGATGGCCAAGGTGGACATTGATGACCACACGGACCTTGCCATCGAGTACGAGGTAGGTTTTGGCAGGGAGTTGCCTCAGGGAAGCCAAGGTGGCGATCACCCAATAGCCAGTAAGTGGCATGTCTGGTATTTTTCTAGCGCTCTTAGGAGGGAGGTCCCAGGCTTTGCACACATGGCTCCATTGATTCCCCTGACACCCCTCAGAAATGGGTTACATGGCCCAAAGCACTAGGGCATTCTCTGTTGTTGGTTTTTTGAAATAGGGTTTCATATAGCCTGAGCTGTCCTCAAACTCCTGACACTCCTGATTCTGCCATTCAGGTACTGAGATGTTAGAACTGTACCACCATGACTGGCTACCTGCCTCACATACAGCCAGCTGTTGCTTATGAGCCCTGGCAGACATGGAGGGCATTGGTGATTCTGGTAAGGGGACATCCTTGTCCCCAAATGTTTCTTGGTCTGTTGGAAGAAAACAGATGACAAGATGCTCACTGTAACCTGAAATGAAAAGTTGTGTGAGGAGAGGCACTGCCGGTTGGTTTGGGAGGAAGTGGACAGGACAGGGAAGGCTTTACATTCCAGAGCCTCGGACTCGAAGTGTGAGCAAATACACAGGGAGAAGGAAAGAACTGAGAGCAATGAGCACAAAGACCTGAATGGAGCCAGAAGTGGGGGGCTCACCCCTGCAGCCTAGAGACAGAGGCAGGAAGAATGCCACGAGTTCGAGGCCAGCCTGGTACATAGTGAGCCTTAGTCTCAGCACAAGAGCAACAAAAAGACAGGACAGAATTAGTTTGTTTGTGTAGGCATTCAGCTCCAAGAGGTTAAGAGCGGGTTCAATTCCCAGCACCCACCTGGCAGCTCACAAATGTCTGTAACTCCAGTCTCAGAGAATCAAACATCCTCTTCTGGCCCTTGATGACAAAATTCCCATACCCATTAAAAAAACAAAAAAAAACAAGCAACAAAAAGACAGGACAGAATTAGTTTGTTTGTGTAGGCATTCAGCTCCAAGAGGTTAAGAGCGGGTTCAATTCCCAGCACCCACCTGGCAGCTCACAAATGTCTGTAACTCCAGTCTCAGAGAATCAAACATCCTCTTCTGGCCCTTGATGACAAAATTCCCATACCCATTTAAAAAAAAAAAAAACTGGGTTTTGGTTTGGGGTTTTGTTTGTTTGTTTTTTCCAAGACATGGTTTCTCTGTGTAGCCCTAGCTGTCCTAGAACTCACTCTATAGATCAGGCTGGCCTCAAACCTGGAGATCTGTCTGCCTCTGCCTTTCAAGTGCTGGGATTGAAGGATCCAACCAGCAAAATACATTTTTTTCTTTTTTTTTTTTTTTCCTTAAACTTTGTAGCAGGTGTTGGTGGCGCACGCCTTTAATCCGAGGCAGAGGCAGGAAGATCTCTGTGAGTTTGAGGCCAGCCTGGTCTACAGAGCGAGTTCCAGGACAACCTCCAAAGCAATATAGTGAAACCCTGTCTCAAAACACCAAAACAAAAAAAAAAACCTTTGAATCTTTGAGGGAGTGGGTGGTAAACACATGAGGCTTTGCAGGGCAGTTTGCAAGGCAGTGTCTGCTGCAGCAGCTCAGCTGTCTTTTAAGTACCCAGCCACAGGATAAACTAAAAGCTGTGGTATGTTCCAGTAGCTCTGTTTACAGACATGGACAGCAAGCAAGTGGAGTTTGGCCCAAGGGCCGTGGTCCACTTACTGCTTTCAGATATAGGCTCCCAGTACAGAGGCCTTGGCAGTCACAAATAAACACTTTGGCCTTTGGAGAGCTTCAGAGTTTCAGCTTGGGGACACTCAGCCTACAACATCTGTGTAAATCTCCAAACACTTGTGGGCACTGTGGAAGATGGGAACGGCCAGGACTGGGGACTTCTTTTGTTTTCCTTTTGGTTTTGTTCTATGATTTGGCCTTTTGAGGGAGAGCCTTCGGAAGCTCAGGATGGCCTTGGTGTCACCATGTAAGAATGACCTTGCATTTCTGATCCTCTGACACTTTCCAAGTGCCATGTTTCCGGGTGTGTGTCATCACATTGTCAGAGGACTGTCTTTTCTGAGGAGGTGACATGGGAGCAGAGCCTGAAAGGAGTAATGAGACAAGTGTGCAAGTCTCAGGAAAGAGCCACTGGGCTGGCCACAGACTCTACCCAGGAATGTGGGGCATCCTGTGGGCCTTGGACCATCACAGTTGAGGAAGGAGAGAGGCCCTTTGTAGCTGGGTGGCTGAGTGAAGGAAGAGCAAGGAGGGGGCTGGAGAGATGGCTCAGAGGTTAAGAGCACTGGCTGTTCTTTCAGAGGTCCTGAGTTCAATTCCCAGCACCCACATGATGGCTCACAACCACCTTGAATGAGATCTGGAGCCCTCTGCTGGAGTGCAGGAAGAAGACTGTATACATAATAAATAAATAAAATCTTAAAAAAAAAAAAAATCCAAACTCACATATTTAAGAAAAAAAAAAGGAAGAGCAAGGATTGGGAGGCCCCATGGCTGGGAAAGCAGACCAGGCTGGAGCAGGAGGTCCTAGGGAAGCTGTGCTGACAGTGACGTTATCACAGAGCCAAGGTCACACCTCACTGCCTGGGGGCCAGTCCTGGTTCACGGGTATGTTTGGTTTAAGAAAGGGGAAACCAGGTGTTGATACTCAAAACTCAGAAGGATTTGTGCAAGCCAAGCATAGTGGCACATGCTTGGAAGCCCAGCATTGGATCAGCCTGGGATAGATAGCAAGACCTTGTTTCCAAAAACATTCTTGTGAAAATCCACATCTTTGGAGTTCTTGAGACCCCCAAGGCCAGGGTAAACCTTTCCCTCCCTCTGGATGTAAGAGGCTGGGGTCGGGGTGGGGACTTATTTCTCAGAGTTCGGGCACCCAGACTCAGTTACCCATCCTCTGACCAGAGCCCATGGGCAGTGTGAGACCTGCCGCCCATCCTTCAGCTGGATGGAAAGCAGGGTGGTTAGTCAGAGAAGTCAAGCTATGTGGGTCAGAGGAGAGGAAACAAACTGTGGGGAGACAGGGCCACTGATGACTGCTGCTGATACAAGGCATCCTTGAGACTTCATAAACTAGGTCGCTCAAGGGCATGGGTGGAGGGAGTTGCTGGGTTTTGTTTTGTGTTGTTTTTTTTTTTTTTTTTTTTTTTTTTTTTTGAGCCCTCCCACCAATTGCTCAATCAGAGGGGGCCTTCAACCTTTGAGACCCCCCTGACTTACTCACTGTATACCCCAGGCCTCAGCAGGTTCAAATGTGAATATGTGGCCTTGTGGTAGGAACTCAGGCCTGGAGCCAGGGTTAGCCTAAGACTTCCAGGCTGCCTCCTGGGACCTCATGTCAGCCTCCTCATGTCTTTAGCAGAGAGCTGCAGACTGTCCGTGTATCAAGGCCTTGGAACTAGTAAGATACAAAACACACTTCCACCAACATGGGTCCCACAGGTGACAAGTTCCCAGCAATAACTCCAGGGAATGGGATGGCATGAGTATGGACAGCTTATGGTGAGGCAGGAAGGTGAGGGGGTCCTCTGGGACCCTTGTCCTCCCCCTGCCCACCATCCACACAGTGCCCTGGTTACACAGAAAGGCATCCAGGCAGCAGCCTGCATATCCTCCTCTTGGCTTCCTTGTGTTGTCGAGCCCAGGGCGGGGGTGGGGAGTTGGAGGGGGTCACCGAGGGCCCAGGAATCCCAGCGAGATCATCCTGCCCTCTCCTTGCCATCCCTTCTCTCACACCTGTTCTTTCTAAAGAGAGTCCAAGAAGGAAGTTGCCACCAAGTGATTCCTCCTGGGAAGGGATCAAGTCTCCTGGGAACCTTCCTGTCAGTCCTCAAGCTGTCTTGACTCCCTCGTGCTTCTTCCATAGCCACTCTTGACTTCCACTGCACATGAAGGAGGGGGAGGGAAAGTCCTTGAGGTTTGGGGGGTGTCACTGACAACCCCTGCTCCTATTCTGCATGGTCTCAGCTTAGGGGGTGCCCATCTCCTGACCACTGAGTCCTTACTAGTTCTTGGGGGCAAGAGGCAATAGAGAAGGAATGGGCCATCTGCTGTCCCCCGAGGCTTCTCTCTCAGCCTTGAACTTGAAGGTGGGATCCTGACACAGCCGCTGCCACTGCTTGAGTGACTTGTCTAAAGCTTTTATTTAATTTTTTGAGACAGTGGTGGGGGGTATGTTCCAGACTGGTCCCAATCTCAATACATAGAAGAGCTGCCTTGAACTCCTTATCTTCCTGCCTCTGCTTATTGAGTATTGGGATTAGAGACATGTACCACCACTCCCGGTTTAAATTGGGATGGAGCCTGAAGCTTTCTGCGTGCTAAGCAAGCACTCTACCAACTGATCCATGTCTGCAACCTGATTTGGCTTTTTGATTTTCTTTTTTAGCATGTATACCCCAATAGACAAATCATTAACTGGTTTAAAATATATGGTATTTTAATCATTTCTAACTGCTCTGTTTGGAAATAAGTGCCTCTCAAACTTGAATATGAACTGGGTGGTTGTTTTGGTTTTTGTCATCACTGTATGTGTGTGCATGGGTCCACATGCCACAACACGTGTGGAGGTCAGAGGGCAACTTGTAGGAATTGGTTCTCTTTATTACGTGGGTTTCAGTGATTGAACTCAGTTATCAGGCTTCATGGCAGGTGCCTTTACCCACCAAAAGACCCCACTGGTCCTCCTGGAGTTTTCTTTTCTTTCCATTTTTTTTTTTTTAAAGATTTTTTTTTTTATGTATACAACATTCTGCTTCCATGTATATCTGCACACCAGAAGAGGGAAGCAGATATCATTTTGGATGGTTGTGAGCCACCATGTGGTTGCTGGGAATTGAACTCAGGACCTCTGGAAGAGCAGTCGGTGCTCTTAACCTCTGAGCCATCTCTCCAGCCCCTTCCTTCCATTTTTTTTCATACGTGTGTAATGCATGGTCTTGCTTGTATGGGGGTCTGTGTGTACATGCCTGTACATCTATGTGGGGGCCCATGGTAGATGTTGGGAGTCATCTTTATCAATCTTCCGCCTATTCATTGAAGCGAGGTCTCAAACCTAGAGCTTGCTAGCCACATTGCTATAGGGATCCCCTGTCTCTGCCTTCTGAGGCTGAATCATACCACACCTACCTGGCTTTATGGAATTCTCAAAGCACAGACACTGGGGTGAGGGTATATAGCTCAGTGGGAAAGCTTGTACCTAGAGCATGCATGCCAAAAGCACTGGGTTTCTTCCTGAAGAAGATTATGACCCACAGCTCCAGTAAGGATTTAATTTCATAGTTTGTATACACACAAATGTGGTGTATTGGGTGCCTGTACAGGCTTAAAGTTGCTGTTGGGTCTTTCTTGCTTGCTTGCTCTCCATTTATTCATTGAGGCAGGTCTCTCAGTTGAGCACAGAGCTCACTGATCAGCTAGTTCAGCTAGCCCATTTGTGACAGAATTTTCTGCCTCAGGAACACTGAGAGTTTAAGCAGTCACCATACCCACCCAGCATTTACATGGGTGTTGGGGATCCAAACTCTGGTCTTCATATTTTCGTGGCATCAGAGCTATCTCCCCAGCCCCATATCTGAACATTTTTAGGGTAACATGCAGGAGTCATTTCTCTCCTTCTATCATGTGAATGCCATGGATTGAACTCGGGTCATTAAGATTGGTGGTAAGGGCCTTTACCCACTAAACCATCCTTCCAACCCTGTTTTGTTTGTTAAATGTTGGTTTTTCTAATAACTCTAGCAGCTGAGCCCTTTTACAAGATATTTGGCATTTCTCATTTAAAGCATGAAGTATTTGAATGTTTCTCTGATGGCCTTTACCCTGCTGGGGTCTGGGTTCTCTCTGGCTCTGATCCTTCCCTCTCCAGCAGAAGCAAAGCCAGACAGACTTTGTTTCTTGTTTTGAATCTCTGCTTGACTTTGAGTCCTCTTGGAATAGGTGCTTTGAGCCTCAGTCTTCTCATCTCTAAAATGGTGGGGTAGGAGGGTTAGGATGTTGCTCAGTGACAGCAACCTAGGGACAGTAGTCTGTGATCTTCCCTGACACCTAAAAACACCACAGAGGTCACCAGCTTCCCGTGGTGTCTACCTGCCTTTGGTGGTTTCTTAGCCGTGTTGCTAGTGGGTGTGACAAGAGATGTCCCAGGTTGGTGGGGAGAGGCCTCATGAGCATTCACACTCCCCAGGTGGCTTCTTGGAGCAGGGTGGGCAGCATGTCTGAGTATGTCCTTTCCCTAACCCCTGATTCCTGTTGTCTTGTCAAAACTGGGGAGGAAGCCAGAATTGTTTGTGTCCCCATCATCTCTCCCCCCCCCCTTTTGGCAGCAGATGGGGTGAGGGGTTGGTGTTGTTTTTTTGAGACAAGGTTTCTCTTTGTAACAGCCTGGCTGTCCTGGAACTCTCTCTAGACCAGGCTGGCCCCAAACTCACACATATCCACCTGCCTCTGCCTCCGGAGGCATGTGCCAATACCATCCAGCCCCCATTACCTTCCTAAGACCACATACAAGGGCCTGAGCAGTAGCAGTGATGGCCATGTTCTAAACACCAAGCCTCCTGGTTAAGGAGCAACAGACTTTGGCCTCCTGTCACAACCCAGATACCCCACAAGAAACAGGGTTCTGGGAGCCGTAGCTGTGTTTACATGTGTGTTGTTCAGATTTCTGAGAAAGCCCTCGACCAATAATAACCAAGACCTCAATCGTCATGGATACCAGCCTGATCTTTGTGTGTCCCAGCATGCACAGAAGCTTGCACACACAGCAGTACCTCCCAAGAGGGGGAAACTCCATCCATTCTGAGCTGTCTCCATGAGGGAGCCAAGAGGCCTGCCGAGAGCACCGGGACATGTCAAGGGAAGCTGCTTGATTTGTTTTTTTGGTGCTGGGATGGAACCCAGGCCTTGTGCCTGCTAGGCAAGTACTCTACCACTGAGCCACACCCTGAACCCTAGACCACATCTTAAAAATGGAGTATTTATTTTAAAGGGACGGAATGTCCACCAATGGAATGTTTCAGCCAAGTTAGTGGTTGAGCATAGCCAGCCTTAGGGTGTTGCAGTTTACTCATCAGCCACTAGATGGTGCAGGAACACTCCCAGTGGTGCTTTCTGGAGCCTGTTTTGCTGGTTCTGCCTTTTCCTGGAGAACCAGCCTGCTTCTGGGCTGTTAATACCACCACCCATGCCAGAGTCTGACAAGAACAGAGCCAGCAGGGAGGCTGTGAGGGGGACACTCATGGTCAGCCCAGTTCATGGTGCTGGCAATCCCTGGGCCACCCGCATCTCCAGGACCATCCTTAAAAAGGTAGGAACTGTGTCCTCCATGCTAGGTTTTTACCATTGGGAGTGGCTGCAGGGCCTGTCACATAACACGTGAGGACTATATGAAGGGCCAAAGTGTCCTTCACTTCTCTTTTCCCCACTTTGGACATTATCTCAGTCTAGCCTCTGAGATGACTCATACCACAGCCCTCCAGCTATGGAAAGACCTAGTGGGTTTCTGTACATTGTTCTTGTTACTTTGTGGTTAACTTGTATGTAGATTAAACCTCGTTTATCTTAATCTGTTTATATAGGTTCTCAAATGCCAGCAAATACCAAGCATTGGGCAACTCACCATGCCAGGCACTCCAACCTCATCTATATGGGTTCCCAGAGCTGTGGAAGTAGTGCCTCATAGATGGGGAATGCCCCTTTGCCAGCCCTAATAAGCCTCGGATCACATATGGCTGTCTCCCTTCCATGATGTGCAGGGAGAGGCTGTGTGTGAATTTCTGGTCTGATACCATTAACTGAAGCTCACCAAAGTCATCCTCATGGGGTCAAGCTTCACCATACCCACTGTGCTGAATCTTCGAGTGTGTAACATGGCACTCCTATAGTCCATTAAAAGTACTCTTAGTGTCTCCGCTTACTGATGAAAGCTGAGGCTTAAGGTAATAAAGGGGTCACCAGGGTCACCCAGGACAGGAATGAGGTTATTTAGGGCAGCCAGTTCTGGAGCTTGCTTCCCTGACAACCACAGTGGAAGTCTGATGTTTGTCCCAAACATTCAGGGTAAACCATGCCATGCCCAGTATGCAGAGAAAGGCTGTGAGCTCAGAAAGCAGCCCTGTGTGCAGCTCACACCAGGTATTTTCATCTCATCATTCCAGCCAAACTGCTGGGCCAGTGAGTCGATCATGTGGTTCAAAGAGGAGGGTAGTGCTGGGAGCTTTCGATAGACAAAGCTCCAATGGGTGGGCCTCCAGGCCCTGCACCCAGTGAGAACCCCATCTCCTTGGCACAACCTGTGACTTTGGCCTTCTCCACGGAGGCTTGAGAAAGGTGCATGGGACACATTGACCTCCAAGTGATTTGCTCTGTGGTTCCCTCATCCAGGTGTCAGCTGTGCCTACAGTGCTGGCCATCAAGAATGGGGATGTGGTGGACAAGTTTGTGGGCATCAAGGATGAGGACCAGCTGGAAGCCTTCCTGAAGAAGCTGATTGGCTGACAAGCAGGAAAGAGTCCTGGCTGCCCTTGCTTTCTGGAGCCTCTTTGGGGAGGAGCCTAGTAGAACTCTCAGCCCTGAGCTATTATCCTTCCTGCCCTGCTCCCTCTGTTTTGTCCCTGTGGGTCCAGCCTTTGGCAAAAGCCGGCCTTTGGCAGCAGACCTCCAAACCTAGAAGCCACTGATGCTTCAGAGCCAGCCCTCAGCCAGGGTGGCATGCAGAGAAACAGTGCTGCCGCTGGTGTGGGGGCTTCCTGTGCACCTCCTACTGTCTGCTCCTTCTAGGGCCCATCACTGTTCCCCTAGATACTGGAAGAGCCTGGGCCAGTCTGTAGCCTGACTGCAGGCTCAGTCCTCATCCACAAGGTCCTCTGAGGCAGGAACCACCAGCCCTACCCTCCTGCCTCCAGCACTTTCCTCTCCTGCCAGTTTGAAAAGAAAAGGAAACCAGAGGCTGAACAAGTGAGAGTAATGTATACTTCTCTCATTTTTTGTAGGTCTATAATAAAGAACTTTATGTGACCCTTCTACCTCTTGCTATGAAGAACTGAGCCCACCCTACACCTTATAGCTGTCCATTCTCTCCCTTGTCCCCGCCCTGGGTTATCTGGGCCTTGATTCTGGTTCCCTGAGCAGGAGGAGGAGCTGTGAACAAGTCAGACCAATAAAACCAGGTTTGCACTGCCACCAGCTTCTGTTCTATGGGCACCGGGCACTCAGGGTAGATGGCTGTTCCTGGGCCCACTGCTGTCCCGGAGTCCTCTTGGATTGTCCACCCCTCTTGTGACTTCTGTGCCTGTCCAGCATGCTATCATACACATGCCCATGTCCCCTGAGGCCCAGACGGCATTGTGCTGTTTCACAAATGTGGATGTGGGCTTAAGGAATGCCAGCTGGGGGTTCTACCAAAAGTGGTTGTCTCAGAAACTTGGAGTCTGAGCCATGTGGTGGTGGTGGTGCACACCTTTAATCCCAGCACTTGGGAAGCAGAGGCAGGGGGATCTCTGTGAGTTTGAGGCCAGCCCAGTCTACAGAGTGAGTTCCAGGACAGCCTCCAAAGCTACAGAGAAACCCTGTCTCAAAAAAACAGAAAGAAAGAAAGAAAGAAAGAAAGAAAGAAAGAAAGAAAGAAAGAAAGAAAGACAAAAAACTAAAAGTCCTTGTCATGGACCCCCTCAGCCCTTCTGGGGCCTTCTTCCAGACTGGCTTCTGACCCCTGGCAGGGTGGCACGTCTTCCATGTATGCCCACAGGAAGTTCTGGACCTTGGGACCGGACCCTCCACCCATCCTGTTTTCTCTCTAGCTCCCTTGGCTATGAAGAGTGCCATGCTGCCCAACCAAGAAAACTCAGCCTAAAGCCTGTCTGGGGCTAAGCAGCCACTCTGAGCTGATGTCTGCTCTCTGCAAGTCTCTAGTACTTAACAACAGAAAGTCCTGACACCCTCTGAATTGAGTTTGCAGTGTCCTTTGGTGTGTGCATTGTTCATAGTGGCACACATTGTTCCATTAGAACTCACTGGGACCAAGGGATCCACCTGCAGACTTAACAAGAAGGCAGCCATTGCTGAAGCAGAATGGGTGGCAGGGGCAAAAGACCTCAGGTCCCGGAAAAGGAAACCGACCTAGTGACTGGCTGAGACCAGAAGCAAGGTAAATGAATAGCAGCCATTGGTCAGAGCACCTCCTGGTGCTCTGTGTCTTCATTTATAGTAGCCTCTAAGTAGCATATTAAGGTTAGAGGTTAGAGAGCATGGCCAAGGTCATGAAGCCCAGCAGTAACCAGGCATTCCTCTTCTGTGTCTTCATAGGGACAGTCTCATGTACACCCAGCTAGTATTGAGCTTGCTAAGGATGAACTTGAACTCCTGATCCTCCTTCCTCCTCTGGAGTTCTGGGGTTGCAGGCATGTACCACCACCTCTAGTTTTATTTGGTGCTGAGTATTGAACCCAAGTCTTCATACATGATAGGCAAGGATTCTGCCAACTAAACTACATCCCCAGCCCTCCATCATCTTATAAAATGTGTGATCTTCATCTCACAAACCAAGAAGGAATGTGGGGTTGTTTTACAGAAGAGGACCCAACAGAGTTGAGTAAAGATACCAGGTAAGAAAGGGGTGTGGTCAGAACTTATAGGCTTCCCCACTATACCCCACTGTCACCCCTTAAAAGGTACCTTTCACCAAGCACTTTTTACACGCATTACCTCATTTAATTCCACTCTGATGAGGCAAGGATTGTTTCCATAGTATAAGTGAAGGAACCGGTTTAGAGAAATTGACCTACCCAATGTCACATCTAAAAAAAAAATGATGTTACCCATATATGAATCCAGGTAGGAGTCTGACTTGTCCTGGATAGATGTGGAGAACTAGCAGAGGGAGGGAAACCAAGTTCCCCCTCCTTAAAAGGTGCTTGCACAGGCAAGGTGAGCCCAGGGCAAGGGACACAGCTGTCCCAGGTTGGCAGCCTCTGCCAATGAGTATGTGCCCATGAGTCACAGGCTGTAAGCACAGAATACTCCAGGTGATCTGCCAAATTGTAGGTGCTGATCTCACCAGGATGTGGCAGTCCCACGGTGGCCTTGGTACCCCATGGGGCCTCAGGGCAGCCCAGCTGCAATGTGGAGAAAGATGAACCACCCTTCATTTATTTATTGATTGATTGATTTTGGTTTTTCAAGACAGGGTTTCTCTGGCTTTGGAGGCTGTCCTGGAACTAGCTCTTGTAGATCAGGCTGGTCTCCAACTGAGAGATCCACCTGCTTCTGCCTACTGAGTGCCACCACTGCCTGGCATTAGGGTCTTATTCTATAGCCCAAACTGACCTGGAACTCAAGAGCACCCTTCTTGCCCCAGCCTCCTAAGTGTGGGAATAATAAACATGTACCATCATGTTTAATGTTACTAAAGGCCTTTTATTGCCAGGCCACAGGCTGCCATCTTAAGTGTGGGGCTGCCTGCAGGCATTCTGCTGAGGCTGGCCTGGAGGCAGGAAGCAGACATGGAAGCAAGCACCTTAGCTCCTACAGCCCTCACCCAAAGCCTTGCAGGCAGGCAAGAGCCTCCTTAGTCACAGGAGACTGAGCACAGAGGGACATCAGTGGACACTGAGACTGCATTCCACAGAGAAGGCCGGCCACCGGGAGCCTTGGCATTTAGCATAGGCATCTGGGATGACTGTGGGGAGGTCCCAAACAGATTCCTTTTACTGCATTGCTGTAAATGAGAGCCAGGGCCTCACACATGCTAGGCTCGTGCTCTACCATTGAGCCACATTCGCAGTATGTGAGTTCTAATGGTCAGCCCAGAAAGGAAACTGGTCATGCTAGCTAGAAGCTTACATTCCACATACCCCAGAGAAGGCTGCATGTCATCTCTGAGCTGATGTTGGGGCACATGGTGGTGGGAACTCAGTTACCATCCAGCCTCCCCACTAAGAGCATAGGGAAGGGTAGGCTAGGACTGAATCCTGGCTGCCTGACTTCTGCCAACCCTAAAACAGTGCTTTTTCCCTTAACTGTACCGAGGTGAGTGTGGAGGTCACTGTGTCTCCATGGAGGTGGCCTCCAGGCCCAGAACCTGGAAAGTGAATAAGATGTTGACAGTGTCGCCACAGTTGCTCTTACCAGAAGTCTCTGCCTGGCCAGGGAAGCAAGTCCTGCTCACCCTCATACAATGGCTACTCAGCTTTTCCAGAAAGTGAAGACAATCTGGCCAGGCTTTGGAAATTCCTGACCTGTGGGCCCTTGGCAGGCAGGGTCCAGAGAACAATGTCAGGGCCATGTCCTCATTGGGCAGGATGCCAGGCAGCAAGCAAGGCTTCCAGGCATTCTGCTGTGGTTCCTCACCAATGCCTAGAACACAGGCTACAAGTCTAATCCCGAGCCCCAGTCCCAGGAGCCAGGAGCTGAAGGCCAGAGTCTATGGTTGACCAGAAAGTCTAGGCTGATGGTTGTTCCAGGTAGTGTCACCTCCTGGCAGGTGGCAGGAAGAATTGGGTCTGGGTTCAAATCCTTCCATTGTACCTGTGTAGTGGAACAGCCTTACACCAGTCAGTTTCCCATTAGCTGATCAGTTTGCATCCAAAAAAATGGGAGTGATGATGATGACCCACACTCCCTGAGTGATATGGCCAGTATCGTCTTACCCAGTCCTCACAATAACCTTCAGTGACCGGGACTATTGTTATTGTCATTTTACACACAAAGTAAACTGAGGATCCCAGAGGGTAGCATGACACAAGTAAACGCCAGAGCTGGGATGAGCACTCTCGGATGGCAGATTCCAAAGTCTGTGTCTTATCTGCCAGCCAGATTGCTTTCCCTCTGGGGCTGTTTTCACCATGTTGTACCCCAAATGCACCTCCCACCCCCTGAAATTGGGGCTGTAGCAGTGCTGATTGAGGTCCTGGGTAGGATTAGGGGGCATAGCAGATTTAAACACTCATCACTCAGTGAGAATTTAAGAAGTGTTAGGTAAACTTTCCCCTCCCTGGCTCTCAATGATCTAACCTGCTTCCCTCCTAGACCAGGCAGATGGGGCTTCCATTGGGCCTTGTGTCCGCCCTGACCTATGACCTCTGACACTGCCTCCTCCTGCTCTGCACTCAGCAGCCCTGGAGAGTCAGAGGTGACCTCACCGCTGGAGAATGCTCAGTGGAATTCTCCCAGAGCCCTCAACTTGACACACCCCCTGCCAATTCTACTGCCTCTGTTGGCACCCAGTGGGAGCTTCTCTTAGGAGCCAGGACACCCTAGCTTCACAGCTGCTGGTTACTGCCTGGGGGTGTGTCAGAACCCTACCTGCAGCCAGCCCGCCGGGTAAACACGAGTGGCAAATGAATGTCTTCCCTGACCCACTGCCTTCCTCAGCCTCCTGTGGGTCCCTTGGTGCCCAAAACCTCTAGCCCTCCCCTATGATCTTACCACATCCACCTGAACTCAAAACTGCTGCTCCTATTTCATACACAAGGAGACCTTAACCCAGGAAGGTGATGTGGTATGTGAGCAACTCCTGGGCTTCCTGCTACAAATTACAAAACATACTCCCTCCAGGCAGTGGTAGTGCACACCTTTTCCCTAGCACTCGGAAAGCAGAGGCAAGCAGATCTCTTCGAGTTTGAGGCCAGCCTGGACTACAGAGTGAGTTCCAGGACAGCCATAGCTTATACAGAGAAACCCTGTGTAGAAAAAAATGGAGGGGGAGAGAGAGAGAGAGAGAGAGAGAGAGAGAGAGAGAGAGAGAGAGAGAGAGGAAAGAGTGCTCCTAGGAGGGATGGGAGTTGAGTGGACCCTCCCCAAGAAGGTAGGGTTGATTGTTTCTGAGGTCTCTGTCCTTAGCCTGTTATATAACTGCCTTTTTTTGTTTTTGTTTTTGTTTTGTTGTTTTTTCAAGACAGGGTTTTTCTGTGTAATAGTCCTGGCTGTTCCTGGAACTAACTCTGTAGACCAGGCTGACCTGGGACTCACAGAGATCCATCCACCTGCTGGGATTAAAGGCGTGTGGCACCACCGCCGGCTCTATGTCTGCCTTCTTGCTATGCCCCCATGTAGATTTTTTTCACACACCTCTACTGCTTCCTTGTATATCCATTTCTTCTATTTTTGTGTTTTATTTGTTTTTTTTTTGGGGGGGGGTCGGTTTGTTTTGACTTTTGTTTTGAAACAGAAGAGTCTGACTTTGT